TATACAATGCTGAAGAATCAACTGCTACAATCCTTTAACTTAAATATTAAAATAATTGAAAATAAACTCAGTAATAATATATTTTTTAAAAGTAATGCATTATCTAATTTTTTGACTTTACAAGTTTATAACTTATAATTATTAATACTAAATCATAATTTTATATTTATTTTAATCCTTAAATTATAAAGAATATTAAATTTTAACTTTATAAAAATTACTAATAAAGATAGGCATCACAATTAAAAAAATAGCACAATTGAATTATAACTTGTGATGCAATTAAATTTTCTTATATTATAATTAAGTTACAACTTAATTAAAATTTGAAAATATTTATAGAGACTATCTTTAATTACTAATTTGTATTTAATTTTTTTATTTAATAAAATTTATTTTTTTAATTAATCTTTTTATAATAAAATTGATATAAAATTCTGTTTTCTTCTTTGTATAATAATTTTAATAAGCTAAAATTTATATAAATCAATTAATTAATTAAAAATTATTGCATAACAAAAGATTAACTCTTTATTATATAAAATTAGATTAGTTAATTTTATATAATATAAAATTAATTTTTATTGCATAATAACTTTTGATTAGTTGATCTAATTTAAGTTTATTAGAATTATTACGTAAATATTTATTAGATAAAAAAATTATATATAAATTATTAAAAATATTTTATAATATTAATATTATTATTTAAATATTAATTTTATAAAATATTTTTAATAATTTAAAAATTAAATAAATATAAAATTATAATTTTAGCATTTATAATTAATAAGTTATAAATTTATAAGAATTAAGTAATATATTAACTTTTAAAAACTACTATATACTTATATTATTACTTAATCTAATTTAATTATAATTATTTTTTTTAAAATAAAAATATAACTAATTTTCATTTTTTTAAAAAAAAATTATAAAATATAATATAAATCATTTATTTAATTAATACTTTATAATATATTTTCTATTACTTTATAATTTATTTTTATATAATATTTATATATTTATATATTTTAAATATAAATTTTTTGCAAAATTAACAATTAATATTTAAATATTATATTACAAACAAAAATTATTATGTTGATTATAATTATTATTAATTAGTAAAATATATAAATTATGATAAATTACAATATATTATAAGAGAGCTTACATATATGATGTAATTATAGATTACTATAGATCTAACCCTCCCTCCCTCTCAGGTGAGACTATGATATCACATGATAGTTAAATTTTTATTTTAGCTAATCATTATTAAGCATTATATTTCTTATTTACAATAAATTACAATAAAGAAAAAGATACTGTTGAAGGATACTATTAAAAGATTAAGCTGCTTTTTTAAGAATTTTGAATAATTTAATTGTTATAAACTTAAAAGTTATTAATATTAAAAGTTAATTTGCCTTTATGATGTTAATTAATACAACTTTTGCTAGTGTATGTTTGCTTAACTAAAGATTCTTCAATATTCTGTATCTAAAAAATTTTAGTATCATAAATTATTTAATAAGATAGATGATTATTTACTTTGTATCCCTCCATATTTTATTTTATTACTATTATTGAGCAGTTTATCATTATTTATGTAATCAATATTAGTTTAATTTAATATAATAATAAACTTGAATTATAATTAATATTGTTTTCATATTGATGTTATAAATAAAAAATATTATTTTTGTAGTATTAGTTTATAATTTCATCATATCTTTTATAACTGACAAACATGACTTATCATTAGTATTCGTTGCGTCTATAAATATAATACTAATTGTGTCTCTAAATATAATACTAATTGCGTCTCTAATTATCACTTTTGATTTTTTTATCCAAAACCTTAGTATGCAGTCTTTTTTAACTACACTAAAATATAATAAGTTTTATATTTATAAAACTCCTATAAATCAATATTAGAGGTTCTGTAATGCTTTTAGTTATCAACGTATAATAAACACAAAAAAATTCTGTTTACTTAAAAATTAGCCTATATATAGAATGTACTAATGCGTGAAAGAAAATTCAGAATAAACCTTAGAAGAAAATCGAAAATAAAATTTATAAATATTTGGTAACTCTAATTCCAATCCAAAGTTTTTTGCAAATTAATTATTCATAAGCTGGCCTATCTCAAAGTTCAAAGTCTACTCAAGTCATTCAAAAGCCAATAGAAGAGATTATAGTTGATGCCAATCCACCTTCCAATGCTGCTACACAAAAAAAACTATAAAAACTATCAATACAACTAATATAAAACTTACAGAACTTTAGCATCTTTATAATTCTACTAATAATTTAGAATTTGATGTAACCTAATGGAGCACATAGAAAGTCTCAAAAAAATTTTGCACAATGAAGATAATAAAATTAAGAAATAATAAAATACGATTCACTTGGTTGTCTACCTCTTTTAATTCAATATCCTGATTTATATAAATATATATATGAATGTATTGAATTCAGAGCTACAGATAAAAAAAGAAGAAAAGAAGTTATTAAAGTTAGGACCATCTGTCATTTTCAAGAAGAACTCAATTCAAAATATAATGAATATCTTTCCTGCATTACTCTTAGTAATTACTTGTTACCATCTTAGTCAAATTCTATAGCAGCAAAGGCTCATTACCATTCAGCTAATATCACAATTACGTCTGTTTCTTAAAATGAAAAAAAGGAACACCCTGATGAGCATTATTGTTTTGCTTCTGTAAAAGGAGCAAAACAATTCACTGCCTTATTTTCAATCCATTCTGTTATTATTTCTTAAGATGACAAAGTTAAGATTCCTCTTGACATCCCTGCAGTCAGAAGAACTTTTCAAACAATACAAAGTTTTTGAGAACTAATTACATTACCTGATCATGATTTTCTGATTGAAATGCAGCAAAAACTTATCCCATCAGTCTACTTACTCATTAATTCAAGCGATACAAATAACTCTTTTCGTAATGGCCAACTTTCAATTTTTATACGTCCACAATATCAAATTGGCACAAGCTCAACCTCTTATATGAGTGATCTAAATTTATTGATAAAAAACAATTATTTTTATGGAATACTAAAAGTCGATGGTCAAATCAAACCCATTTAGATTCTTTTAGTCAATGGAGGTCTTGATGAAAATTCACATCATATGAAGAATATTTTTCAATATTGTAGAATATTCTGTGCATTCAATCTTGATTATCTTTTTATTCAAACGTATACACTTGGTCAATTAGCATACAATCCTGTTGAGTGTAGTATGACAACGATCTTTTAAAAGCTAGCTAAAATAACATTACCAATTGATAAACATAGTTTCCATCTTAACACTTAAGGCCAAATGGTTCTCAGAGCTTGCAATAAAAAATATGCGTTACGCTGATGAAGTTTTATGTACTTTTTGAAATCATGATCCTATCTTTGGAAGACTGATTACAATATAATATATTGATTAAAAAAGCTCTCTATTTAAAGATATCATGTTTCCTGCATGTAGTAAAGAAAATACCAAAGAATCGATTGTATTTTGACAATGGCTAGAAATTATACTAAGATATGTCAATATTCTCTCAATATTAAAAAATGTGAAAATCCACTTTGTTGCTTGCCTAAACATCACGAAGAGTCAGCCATCCTTCTTGTAGAAAATAATATATTTTTTCTATCTGTAATAAAAGGAAAAGATGATCATTTCTTAAATCTGCTTTATATATTAGAATATTGCGATAAACTCAAAATACCTGAAAATGATGCCCACTGTTCTTCCATTAATTTAAACACTTATACTCATCTCTGCTGTTTTGATTGCAATGCATATTTTCTGACTCTTTCTATAGTTGCTTTATATAAAAAAATCAATATTCAAAATGATGAGAACGACCAACTAAACAAAAAAGCTACTTATCAATTCTATTAATGATTTTTCAATTGTATCTACGTTAGCTGAATAAGTATTAGGCTTATATAATCAGAAAACACAATCGGATAGTAAGTAAAGAGGTTATTAAAAAGTTAGGGCAGGTTTTTTAAGTGACAGAAAAAAAAAGTTAGTAAATTTGCGGTATGCTAAATCTTTAAATCATGTAAACATTATGTTCTACTAATATATAAATTGTTCAAGAAAGTCCAATTCATCGATTAAAATGTTGTTATTAGAATTTGTTGTACGTTTTTTGAATTTGTACTTTTTTTTTAAGATGATATGTGTCAGATAGATTTATTATTAAATTATTGTTATACAAAATCACAATATGTCATATAGATCATGTGATTTGAATCTTTATCCTGATTGGCTAATTATAAAGGTGAGATATTTGAAACCCTCTCCCTCCCTCTAATAATTACGTTATATATGTAAGCTCCTTAATTTAAATAATTAATTTTACTTTGATTTAAAAGTACATTATAATTATTATAATATTAAAATTTAATATAATTTATATAATATAATCAAAATTTAATATAATAATCTTTTTTAATTTATTATAAAATATTTAAAAAAAAAAATCATTTTAATAAAAAATTATTAAACGAAAAATTTATCAAGTAATTATTATTTCAAAGAATTTATTATATTAAGTTATAATTAAAGATGGTCATCGCAATTGAAAAAAAATGACACAATTGGGTTGCAACTTGTGACGCAATTAAATTTCCTTATGACGCAATTAAGTTGCAACTCAATTGAAATTTGAAAATAATTATGGAGACCATCTTTAGTTATAATTTTATATTATAATATACTACTATTTAATTTTTATATTATCAAATATAAATTAATATTTTATTATAAATAATAATTAATTATTATAAAAAAATTAAAGTTATATAAAAGTGTTATTTAAAAATCTAAATTATAAGATATATTAATTTAAAATATTAATATATTAAAAATTAATTTATTATTTTTTACTTAAAAAAAAATTAAAATAAAAAAAAAATATCACAATAAAATAAAAAAAGTCTTTTTTTATACTTTAATTAAAGATTCAATTTTTAGCAATAATAAGTTTTAATATACTTTCCAAAATATTAACATCCATACCTCTAATAACTTCCTTTTCAGCTAAAAATCCATCAACTAATTTACCAACCATAATCCTAGAATTTTCATTTCCCATAACTTGTTTTATAGAACTTGGTATGGCTTTTTGTAAAAGTAATTTTTTTGCTTCCTCTTTAGTTTTTAATTTTTCTTCTTCAGAACGTAAAGTTGACTGCCCTGACCAAATACCATTTGGCCAAAACGAATTCATAAAATTTTCAATTATTGATGTTACTTTTTCTTCAGTAGATAAAGTATTGATATACATTAAGAACGAAGCTTTAATTGCCTCTGTATATGATCTTCTTACAACTTCTCTTAAAACTGACAATACAGTTTTACGAAGATGCCATTGAGATTTAACTGATAAATCAAATATTTCTTCAACAATAGCAAAAACTGTATCAATTAAAAGATCAATATCTTGACCTGTCAACTGTTTATTTGGTCGTGCTCGACGTTTTGATATAAAATTGGCATTATCAGACTCCAATGCAACATCATATGAATTTTCAAGTTTATCTACAATTGAAGATCGATTTGAAGGAGCATCCACCATAACAATTGAAGATGAATCACTTTCACTTGTAGCTGTTGTTGGAGTGCCAGTTCGACTAGATCCCCATGTTGAATTGATTGTTTCAATACTAGGTCGAGTTACACTAGTCATTGAGGAAGATGAATTCTTTCCATTTATTTCATCAGAAAATCTTGAAAAATCTGTAGAAATTCTTGGTAAAAGATCAGAAATTTTCCTTAGGGCTGTAGATTCCGACCTAGAAAATAACTCGGAGGATTTTTTCGGAGAAAATGATTCTTCAAAACTTGAACTTGTACGATTGTGTTGATTCCTGGAAGAACCAACTAGATTCACCATAGACATAGATTTTGGAACTGACAATATGGATAAACCTTTAGTTATTTTATTAGTTGTTTTCTCTAATTTCTCTTTTGGTAGTCCATCTCTTTTCATAAATTTCTGGAGAGCTTCGCTTTCGCAAAGCATTACATCGCTTAATAAAATGTTTAAGTATCTTTCTAAGGCTTTGCAAGCTTCTTGATTCTTTTTTAGCATTAGCCGAGGCATAGTTACTTTCTCAGCTTTGGGAAAAGTTTGTACCAAAGATTGATGCAATTTTTCAAAATCTGCATAACTTCTTGTCATAATCCACCCTGTTGATCCAGGTTGTTCAACTTCAATCATATAACCTAATGATTTTGTAGAATAAATGTATTTATTTGGTGATTCGGAAACATCCGTCATTTTTATACGGACTCCTGTTAAATCCATCATTGGAATTTTTGGTTGGTCTGATATCGATTCACGATCACTTTCAGTTGTATCGTCAACCTCATATGATCTTTCTGACGTAGCAGATTTAGTAGATTGGGAAGATTTAGTAGATTTTGCGTCGGAATTGTCAAGGATATTTTCATTCAAATCTTCCAAAGTTTCGTCATAAATATCATTTGACCAAGATCTAGATCGTCTCGGAACTTTTAAATGTTCAGAAGTATTAATTCCTTCAGGAGATAAGACAGAATTGTCCACTGTATTGAACCGTCTAAAAAACTTTTCTGCGACTAAAGCTCCTGATAAAAAACTCGATTTATCTTCAGGTGGAAGTATATCTTTCTGCACGGGTTTATGTTCGATCAAAAAGCTCATATCTTCTCCCTGAGTTTTCATATATTGTATAAAATCATCGAAATAATCTCTTTCCAAAGTGTCAAAAACATATTCCTCTACCATTGCGAAACAATGACTTGATGGTGATTTTGATATCTCACTCGCACATTGTCTAATCAATCCTTCTTCGACAACGTTTACGGGATAAGTCGCGGTTTCACCGAAATAAGTTTTGAATATTCCTAAAGCATCTTCTTGAATCAATTTAATATTAACTTCATCAGTTGCAATTTTCCGGAATGAATCGGCCTGAAGCCAAAATCTTAATAAGTTAGCCTTTTTCCTTTCTTCAAGAAAAGCCATAAACTCTGCAAAAACTTCCGGTTTATTTAGAATTTTTTGTAAATAAGTTGATTTATTGGAACTTAAAGTAGGACGGTTAGGAGCATCCGGCAAAGAAACATTTTCCGTTATTTTCGTAACAAATTCTGTTGGTTCATCATTAATTTCGGTTTTAGAATCCATAAACGAATTTAATTGCGATGATGTAGGTGATTCAATCAACGATTGATTCGTTTGAATTTTTGATGAACCATTACTCAAATTAGGTGATCGATTTTCAATTGGAACCTCATGAGGTATTGCGGGCGTAAGATCTATAAAGTCTGAAGAATCAGAAGGGTGCTTTAATTTCTCAGCTAATTCAGCAGCTTCTATCGAATTTGCCAACTCATGAAACAAATTAGCATCTTCGTCATCAATTGCATCTATTGGAGATATATCAGTTAAATATTCAACAATAGTACAATTAATCCAATCAGGATCGCAAACAGTATCGAGCGTTGTTTGGAATATTTGATTTGCCCAAAGTTCAGATAAAAAAGCCATTAAAATACAACTATGTACTTCTGATGAAGGTAATAGTCTTGCAAGCACCAAATGAGATACCGAGCGAAGTATTTGTGCTTGAGATTTTCTGTCGGTTGACTGGGCAAGTACAGAAGATTCATTTTGTCTACAATAATCACTCAAAGATTTATTTGTTGCTATAAATTTTCTATATTCTCGCTGGAGGAAAAAACCATGATTAATAAAATATTATCAAATTAATCTCCGACCATCACAAAAAAAGATGATTACATACCAAATGAACAATAAATGTATTTGAGATTGCGAAACTCGACATTATACCTAATTCTACTTTATCTAAGTTTTGGAAACATAAAGCTAAATTCATTGCCATTACATTCATAGAGTTTTGGACTTGAATTGAAAATTCTGTATCCTTGTTAGGATTCATTGGATCATAATAAAATTCTATGATATCACGTGTAATATATTTAAATGCTTTATTTAAAGCCTTATCAATTTTTGGTGTGATTGTAAGATCTGTCGATTTTACTTTTTCCGCTGATTTTAGTAACTTTTTGGTGAAAAGAAAAGAAAAAATTTAATTAGATGATAATGTATCAATAATTTAAATACAAATGCTTTTTAAATGGAAAAAAATGAATTACCTCAACTGAGCTTAAACTTCTTGACATATTTGTTTCTTTCACCATCACAATTTTTTCTTTTACTTCGTTTGTCACTGTGTTTGCTCTAAGAAAATAACCAAATGCTACTCCTAGGCTAAGCAATATTAAAGGTGATCTTTGTAAATAACTCCAAGTGAAAAGAATAAGTAAATATAATACAAAAAGCATTCTTGGCGTCGATGAAAAAATGTATTTGAATAATTCCACTGGGCCCGTATCAGATGGCGTCATTGGTTGTATCACATTTTCAGAAATTATTGTTGTTTTCTCTTGTTGAATCGAGGTTAATGGTTGTGTTTTTGTTTCATTAGACTGTTCTTGTGATGAAGAGTCATTTTCATGATTAATCTGTTCAGGCTTTTTCTGTAAATTATTTACTTCTATCATTGTATTAAATTCACATTCCTGGTGATTTACAACCTTCGAGGTTTGTTCAACATGAACTGATGGCGTCTCCGATATCATCTTGTATATTTTGGCTTAAATTAATCTACTTTATTATTATTAATTAAATCTGCTATATTACAAGTCTATGTATGGATAAATTATGAAATTTTGAGATTTGGTGATAATAGGAAAAATCAGAGAACTAAACAATAAAAAGATTGTAAGTTTCACATTTGTAACATTTTTGTATTTTCAAGAGATCCCGACAAATAAATTTAGAAAAATGCTGGTTTAATAATGATGTGAAATTAAAGTTTTCGTTTACAAGTTACGCGAGAAATTGTCTAAAACAGATATATATTATTATTCCTCACGTATCCAAGTCAGTTTAATGCACATCTGATCTAATGTTTATCTGAGAATGTCTCGACACTTACCAGTTTGTCTTTGATCAAAGTATACCCTTCAAAATGAAAATCGGATAGATATTTCTTTTGTAAGTGTTGAGATATTCGATTATATATAAAAGTAAGTAAGAAACAGTATCATACCTCATATACCGAAAAACAATTTATTATTTGTCGACCGTAAACTGTGAAGGTTGACTAATTTTTTGTTGAAACAAAACCTTTTGTGATAGTCATTTAATATATACTTAATAGCTTCGTAACTCAAAAAGGCTTCGCTACAACAAGTTTTAAAATAAAATATTATTAGCATGGTTAAAGTTTAAATATTATGGCTTTTACGCATCATAAGGTATTACAACCAAATAGATTGGTCATTAATTTAGTTGGGGTTACACGGCTAAACATTGAAGGTACCCTAAATTTAGCTACATTATTATTTTTAAAGAAACGTAAAAAACGTGAAATTTTATTACATCTGAATTCAAAATGATGCCAATTTGTATTTAAGATAGACAGCTAATTTAATCGTCATTTATTTATGAGATGATTTACCAGATGATTTTACAATGACTAAATATCTAACCAATTTTAATGTTAGTAAAAAGGCTAATTTTTTCTAAAGTCCGAATTAACAGAATATTTATTAATGAAGATAATTTTATCTAAATGATGATAAAATAATATATCATAATGAGAATTTTAAAATAAACCTAATATAATGTTTTACATTTAAAAATCTTGAAAAGAGATTTAATAATTTTTGAATTTAAGAAAAATAAATAAAATAAAAAATATAGACTATTATATTTCTTAATATATATTAAATAAAAATTTATCTGATTTATTTAATTTTAATATATTTTAAAGTAATAATCATTAAATTAAAATTTTATATAAAATAAAATAAGATATATTTAAAAAAAAAATTTGATAAAAATATAATAATTTATTATTATTAATATAAAACTTCATTATTTATATTTTAATTTAATTCTTATATAATTAAAACCAAATAAATATAATTTTATTTATTAATCACTTTCAATTATTTTTATTATTCTTATATATTTTATCATAGTGACAGTATTGGAAATTAAACAATTTTAGATAATTTTGAATAGTTTTAGACAGGTTATGAACACGTTTTTCTATGTTTAAAACTTTATTTAAAATATTTAATATCAAAAAATATATTCAAAATCTAATACTAATAGTAGGATACTACTCTATAATATAATTATAATACAGTCAACTCTCGTTATAGTCACCTCCATTATAGTCACATTATCCTATATAGTCACTCTAGTTAGATGTCCTGAATTTTTATTATATAAATCCTACTGTTTATAGTACATTATCCTATATAGTCACTCTAGTTAGATGTCCTGAATTTTTATTATATAAATCCTACTGTTTATAGTACATTATCCTATATAGTCACTCTAGTTAGATGTCCTGAATTTTTATTATATAAATCCTATTGTTTATAGTCATATTTTACCTATAATCACTATCATCCTTATTTCAAAAAATTTTATATTAAAAAATATTGTTTATAATCACATAGTCACGTAAAAAATTTAGTATAAAGAAAAAAAATATCAAAAAATTTTTGTAATATTGCAAAGAATTTTTCTAATACATTTTTTATTAAATATATGTTGACTATACTAACCAATATTGTTAGTTTTTGGTTAGATTAATAACTAAAAATTGTATAGTTTTTTCTTTCATTTTAAATATATTCATAAATTTATAAATGTTAAAGTATGTTTATTCTTGGTCAGATATAAATTATTTTATATTTGTTGATCCTAAACATCACATAAAGATGACAAGTTTCATTTAGAAAAAAAATTTTTTTTTTTTTAGCAGAAAATTAGAAAAAAAAACTATAAAAAAAAACTGAATGTGAAATTAAAGAAGGAAATGGAAAAAGAAAAAGAAATGATAATAGTTGAAAAGAATAAGTTAAAAGTTTGTTTTAAAAAAAAAATATCAATAGTTAGAGTGATAATTAGGTTTAAAAAAAAAAGAATTATGTAGAGGGATTTTCAGTTTGTGATAGTATTTCAGTATTAGATAGTAAAGGTGAAGAGACAGATCTTTATGATGATACAAATCTTTGTGAAAAGAAGGATTAGAAGAATGAAAAGTATTTAAATTTTCTAGTAAAGTAAATATTAAAATTTAGGTTAAAATAAGTTTAAAATATTTGAAATTTAAATAATAAATTTTATGGTATGCTAATTTGGATTGCCTTTTTTCTTTTATTTGAGAAGCTAAAAAATAAAATGTTTGAATTTAACTAAATTTTAAAATAAATATCAAATAAAATACATTTTTAATTACTTATCAGGTTATTTTAAAATGGAGTTTTAAATTGTTCTCTGTTATTACTGGATTCATTTTCATTTATCTTAATGTCTAAATTAAAAGGCTGTAATAGCTGATTCTACACGTCAGAATTTCTGACCTTAGAATTTTCTCTAAGTCCTACAGGTATCTGTTATACTTGAATCAACTTAGCAATTTATCACGTCTTAGAATTTAAGATATATTTAATCGAACTCAGATTGATGAACTCAATAGCAAGTTAGTGTAATATATCACAATAATCCTAAGTAAAGGACAACGTTGAAGGGAAAAGTAGTTTGTATAGATTTAAATTAATTTTTTTATTTATAACTTGAAACTCATATAAAACTTACAAATGAGTTAATAAACTTGTAAAGGAGTTAATTTATAACTTAAACAAAAAGCTATTCTATTTATATAAAATTAATTTGCTATGGCTAACTACTTACTATGCTATAAATTAACTAAATATAAATATATGTCTCAATAAAAGTATGCGTAAATATAATAAAATAATAAAAATAATATAAATAATAAAAATAATAAAAAGAAATAAAATAAGTTATAAACGTTAAAGAAATTATAGATAAAATAAAGTAAACAGATTAAACAGACTGTTTAGAAAATACAGGAGAAACAGGCAAATCAGGTGAATTTTATAAATCCTTCAAATTAAATGATTTTTTAATGCAATACATCGATCAAGATCTTCCTTAATATGATCTACATAAAATTAAATCTAATGACTTTGTAAATCATTTTTCTAGGACAAATTTTCAACGCTGACACTGTATTTTTCATCAACTTTACTTTATCTTCCTTTCGAATTTTCTTTTGCATAAAGATTAAATAACTAAAAATATTGATTGTTTATAATTTTTATTTTATACAATTAGATCGTTTGCTTTTTTAATCAGGATTTTACTTACTTTACAATTCTTAATTATTTTTTTAAACTTTGCTTAACATTACGCTAGCATAATATCTGTATTATTCTTCTTTGATCTTTTTTATAATATCTTTTTAAAAAGGTAACTTTAATCTTTTAAAATTGAACCAATATTCTTCATTTCTGTTTCTCCTTTTATTAATTAATAATTTAACTTCATTATCATCCTAATCGATTATATTTGGTATTTTTGATAAATTGAAAATTTAAAATTTGTTAAATTTAATTTTTTAACAATTAAAGAAAAAGAAAAAAATACTTATAAATTTATATAAAATTATATCAATATATGTCAGAAATTTGAAACATTTTGCATATAATGAGTAATTTTATTTAATCAAAATTATTTAATAATTGCAAATTGCAATAATAATTTTAATTTACACATTACATATAATTCAATTTACAAAATTATCTAAAAATTATAATTTCGATAAAATTACTAAATTTACGTGATTTCAATTTTTTATTTTCAAAAAAAATACAATTTTCAATAATAATATTCAGATAATCACTCCTGATTTACCTTTGATTTATTTTTAGTTTTACCACCAGTTATTCTATATACAGTAGCGGTCATAAGTATCTGACTGCCTGAGATCGTCCAAAATTATTATATAATTACCCCTTAAATTTTTCAGAAATATAATATAACACAATACATGATCACTTGTAAGTTTATAAGTGTCGATGATACAAAAAAAAAATTTAGATGATCATCAAACTTTCGCTTGAAAAATTGAACTTTCTTTAAAAAAATGATATGAAATTATCTTTTTACGTGAATACCCAGCTAGTCCAAAGTTTAGTTTTGGATTTATTGCTAAACAGGTATGTTGTAGTAAGTCTACAGCTATTTATTAGGTTAAAAGATATCATGAAAATTGAGACCTAAGTATTTCAAAAAGACCAGGATGGCCTTATGTAATATCTGTGAAATAAGATAATAAGATTGTAAAGATGGTAGAGAAAGAACATAATATAACAGCCATTCAAATACAAAAAAAAATAGAAGAAAGAGGTATTGGGCTTAGTGTAAAAACAGTAAGGTGACGTCTTCATAAGTCTGAAGAAAAGTTTAGTAATGAAATTTCTAAACCTTTGCTTAAAAAAGACCATCAAAAGAAAAGGTTGCAATGGGCAAAAAAACATAAGAATTTTGATTGAAATCGAGTTATTTTTATAGATAAAAGTACATTTCAATTATATACATCAAAAAAAAGGTTTGGCAGTTTCCTGGTAAAAAAAAAGTATTTCGTTCTGTTAAACATCTACCAAAAGTTCATGTTTGAAGATGTTTTTCTGCTTCTGAATTTGGTAAGCTATTTTGTTTTAGAGGAACCTTAATGCTGAATTTATAT